CAGAGCTAGATAGCAACCAAGAGGAAGCTGAGGAAGCTGAGGTAGCAAGGCACCAACTCCATCTTCAGACCAGAAAGAATTCCTAAACCCATGTCTCAGTCCAAGTCTACATTCAACTTTATAGTCATTGCTCTAGATCAAGGTGTTCTCGCTTGTCTATTGAGTGATATCATTAACCCCTTGCTGTTCAAAATGTGGCCCATGGCCCAGCAATGCTAGTCACACAGATACTCACCAGAACTGCAAAACCTGAGACCCCGTCCTAGACCCCAGGAAATGCAGTGGGTCTCTTTGAAAGCTGGAGAAGCACTGCTTTAAGTCAAACTAGTCTCTCAAGTCCACCAATCTCTTCCTCTGGGGATTTCCTCTGGCCTTCATTCCCTTTCCTATTGGGTGTCAGGAGAACTTTCTGCCCAGTTTTTCCCTTCTCTCTTCTAGAGAGGCAACAATAGGGCTTTGCAAAGCATTGCTTTGAAGCCCGCGGGTCTGAATTTGTGTCGTCTTCTATTGTTTTTCACCTATGAGACTGCTTGTAATCATTTAGTTTGCTAAGTCTTAGTCAGTTCCCAATTCTTGGGATCTACCTAAAGACCAAATAACATAAATCATGTAAAGATTTATCCTTATAAAGATGTATACCATCCAGGGCAAGCTAGCTTGAAAATTTTATAGAGAACTCCATGCACTGTGAGTCAGAAAATCAAGGCCAGAAAGGAAAAGGATATGAAATTCCCTGTGGTATATCCCAAAGAAGGATGGTTGCCTTTGATGATTCATTTTCAGTCACAGAGAATATTTCATATCCAAAGCAAATGTGGGTGCTGATTGTTACTATTCTCCAGTCATTGCTGTGAGAAAAGACTGAGTCTTTAAAGGTCTTAGACAGATTAAGTACATAATAAGGATCAAGGTAGTCCTCCAAACAGCAATCATTTTTCAAGCTATAGCTAATCTGTTATGTACAGCATCTCATTCTGTCTGTAACAACCCACCGGAAGAAGCATTACTGGCCTTCTTCTAATCATAGTCACTAAAAAAGAAGAAGAAAACACCTGTAGGTGGTAAAGATGATTGGGAGAGAGGACATTTTTGCCAGAGGACAAATAAGCTGGTCATGACCACTCTTCCCTCTATACACAAAAGAACAATAATATTGTTGGGATGCCCAAATGCTTTTTCAGCCATAAATGCTGAAAAGAAAGAGGAAGTATGATTTAGAACATGTGGCAGGTTGATCATCATGGAGGTAGAACTTCCTGAGCTACCAAAGAGAGCTGAGAATGACAATGACAGCCTGGGAGGGTTGAGCCTGTGGATTACTTACTGAAAGCCAAGTCACTGAAGGAGATGGCTCACATTTTCTTCAGGGTCCAAATCTCCAGGCAAGATTTGGGAGAGAATTCCAAGACCCTGGGAACCTTGCAAAAGGAGTTCATTGAGAGCACTCGATATAACGTCTGCACTCATGGTATTTGACACATTTAGACAGTTCCCATGTCCTTAAATCCCACTTCTCCCCCACTCAAGGGCAAGGACTGCATGGTGGAAAGAGGAGCTGTTCTATGCTTGGCTCTCCTGAGGCAGCAGAAAGTACCCTGGATAATTTCTGTCCAGGACCAGCCACTTTCTTACTAGTGCTTTGATTGTCTCTCTTACAAATTTAGTTTGGTGAACTGAAAGATGTCTAGGTTCCTCTCTGACTTTGACTAATGGTGTCTACTATGGATATCCAGGGGAAGTTGTGGATACCTTATGCTCTTCAAAATAGAAACCCTGTAGGCCAGGCGCTGTTGGCTCACAGCTGTAATCTTAGCTTCTCAAAAGGCTGAGATCTGAGGATCACAGTTCAAAGGTAGCCCAGGCAAGAAAGTCTGTGAGACTTACCTCCAATTAACCACCAGAAAACACAAAGTGGAACTTTGCCTCAAAGTGGTAGAGTGCTAGCCTTGAGCTCAGGAACAGTGCCCAGACCCTGAGTTTAAGCTCCACAACTGACAACAACAAAAAATAGAAACACTTTTGTCTCAAATTTCCTGAGCCCTAAGTCAAAGGTCAGACAATGGGATTCATTGTGTTGCCAAGATACCTTGCTATGAACATGCCCTCTAAAGTTAGGAAACCAGGAAAGCACTTAAATGACGGAGAGTCATTTCTTCCCTGATGCGCCTATACATCAAATCTTCCTTCCTGATATCACCTCTTACACTCTTACTGATCAAAGGTGTTCTGTGGGCCAAGAGTATTGACGTCACTTGAGAGCTTGTCAGAAATGCAAAACACCAAGTTCTACTCACACCCGCTGAGTAGTCAGAACACACATTCTAACAAGAGCTCCAGATGATCCATACAGACATTAAAAAATTGAGAAGCACTATCCTAAAACACGCTGTTTTCTTCCATTGCTCTTGCCACACCTACCAGCCATATTATATATTTAAGTGTACCGTTTAAATGACGGTCTTAATGACTACTCCCATTGTACAGATTCCAATGGTTAATGCAGTGTCTACCTAAGTGCTCACGAAGCAGGTACTAAATAAATGATTCTCCAGTTTCTCCCTATCTCTCTCCCCATCCTCCATCACCTGCTATTGGATGGCTCTGCTGCTTTTGAAATTCTAACATTTTTTCATTGTCTCCAGATAGGCCTGAGCAACTACTGAGCTCAATAATCTTGGCACCACATTTTAATGTAAGCTTTTCTGTAAGTACTAAAAGTCAGTATTCTTCCACATTTACATTTACATTTACATATCACACTAATCCATAGTCGTGTTCAGTGGCAAATTAGGTATTTGTTAATTTTGGAAATGCTAATGGTTATCTCATAACGGCAACACAAAAGGGAACTGGATGTCAGGTTTTTCGAATAAACTGTATGCCTATCTGATTGACCACAAATGCAAAGCATTGTTGGTAGGTTAAGAACTTTTGACTAAGGCAATAAAATCATCAGATATGGTAGGAGAGGGGAAAGAAACTTCCAGAGCAAGGGTGCCTCCTTTCCCCTGAGCAAGTGTCCGCTCCCCCAGCTCAGATGAGGGTGGTGCTCTGCCTGCCTGCCTACCTGCCTGCCTGCCTGTCTGTGGGAGACTCCCAGGAGCCAGTACCACCCAGTTGGGCTAGGGGAGAGATCCATCCATCAGATGACAGGATGTCCATGGAAGGCAAAGAACATAGCTTCTGGGGGCATCATGAAATAAAGGGCCAATCAAAAACTATGTACATATGACCACATAAGATGATGTTAAGTGAAATGAACCCCAAGATAGAGGCACAAATATTTTTTTCTTTCTTGATATTGTTTCTAATGTATTTATAATGTACCATGTGATTTTTTTTGTTTCTTTGTATGTTCCTTCCCCACAGTATAACCCGTTTTCACTGTATTTGATGTCGGTGCCCTTTATCTTATATATACACTTCTCTAATTTGGGGAGGGGAAGGGGGAAAAATGTTTAAATAAGGATACAGGTTGACCCATTGTAACAATGAGATGTACAAAACACTATATTGAAAATGAACTTTACAACTTTGGTGGGGAGGTGGGGGGGGTAGTTGTGGAGGTGGAAGGGAAGGGATGGTAGGGGGAAAACAAAGGAGGAGGCAACAATGCTCAATAGGAAATTGTACTCGTTACCTTGCTTATGGAACTGTAACCCCTCCATACAGCATTTTTACAATAAAAGAACATACAAAAAATAAAGGGAAATTCCTGATGTTCCTTAGCATTCACAGAGAACTAATAAAGTCAGATGAGGGCAGCTGCCAAGTTCAAGCTTGGTAGAGGTTCAATTTTCCCATGTAAACCCTCACCTTTAGTCTTTGTTAATACCTCAAATTGATGTGCTACAGGAGATCCCAACCTGTACAAGTCAAATGGTAAGTAAGATCCTTCCTCATGGCAGCACACTAGAGGTGTCTCCATGGCTGATGTGAGGAAGAAGGGAGCTGGAGGAAAGTTAGCAGCTGAGGGATTTGTTGTGGTAGGAGAATTGTGCTTCTCCACTTCCACTGAATCCATTCAAATCACCTGAACTAAACCTCTCTTTATCCTCCTTCAATTGGCACTCAAGCCCAGGGACCCCTCCTTTGGCAGACAATCTATCCATTTATGCAAAAAATTACATATATGTTTACATTTACTATGGCAAAAATAATTGTAAAACTTCATGTGAGTGTATGAATATATAATATACACTGAAGCTTATTCATGTTCTATATTTGTAAATATTTTCATATACTATTCAGACCTCAACTTGTAATAAATCTGTGAGTGCAGGGACCCAGTATATTTATGACATCTTCACAATACGTGGCATATATACACTTAATTCAGAATTTCCAACCACAGGAGAAACAGAAATGTACCTTCTGGGTATGTTTACAACATATTTTCACAGATGAATCAAATGTGGAAAAAACCTACACGTATTTGTAAACTTCACTTGATCTTATGTTGACTACATGGAGAAAAATAACACACATAGAGGAGGGAAAGCCCTGAACTGAGAAGCAGGGATCCCAGTCATGCTTCCTGAGATCCATGAACTTGCTGGGTGGCCATGTCTCCTGCCTGTAAAATGCAGAGTAGTCAAGAAAAATGGGCAGAAAGCCTGTCAGTGAATTAAGTCAATGAATGATGATGACGGTGAGCTTTTTTGCTCAAGGCTAGCATTCTACCACTTGAACCACAGCTCCACTCACTTTGTTTTTTGAGGGCTAATTAGAGATAAGAGTCTCACAGACTTTCCTTCCTGGGTCTGGTTTCAAACTATGATCCTCAGCTCTCAACCTCCTGAGCAGCTAGGATTATAGGCATGAGCCACTGGTGCCCGGCCAGGGAATTAATTTTTAAAGTTTAAATGGCAGATGAAGAGTGAATTCTAAATTACATAGTACTTGAGAAGAACCAAACAGAAAATTAAAAAAAAAAAACCCACCAAGTTGCTTCAACCAACTGGCATCTTCATTCTGCTCTTTTCTCTCTTTGCTTCTAGGACTCCATTCCCAGCCCACCTGACACTGTTCCCCTTAAAGGAGGTAAGATCTTGAGAATTTAGAGTAAATGTGTAGTGAAACATTCAGCTGATGTCATAAGGTGTGATTTGCCATTACCAGCCAGAAGCTCTTATGACTGTGTCCAACATGAGGAGGAGTGAGGTGGAGCTGGTTCCTGCTCAGGATGCACTTGATTCATCCAGGCAGCACCTGATCGCCTTTCACCACACACCAGGCCCCTCCTCTCCCCGCCCAACCATTAGCACTCCTGCTAAGAAACAACATATTTCTAGCAGAGCCATGGTGTGGACACTGACAGGAACACAAAACAGCTAGAAATCCTAAATTGGGCAATGATTCTATATGACCATATATATGATTCTATACTCCAAACTTCAGAGACTTGTTCCCCATCTCTTAAAATGGGAATAACCTACTCAACTCACTAAGGTACTGGAGGAAGCATTAAGGCTTCACGTGGAAATTCACTGGCATGGCAACCAGCAGGATAATGGTAATAGCAAAAATACCCAATGAAGTTGAAGACCTGTCAAAGAAAACTACCTCCTTACTTCCTACATTACCAGTCACTGAAAGTTATTTGTGGATTATTGTCTCTGTTAGCCCAAGGGGAGTGATTGGCGAAGTTCAGTTAACATTGAAAATAAAATAGTTGGGGATTATCTGACTAATATTTTCCTTGCTCAGAGGAGGAAAAATCAGACTTACAGAAAGAGAACTGTCTTGCCCATGGTCCTATGGACTAAACCCCTGGGGTCCTCAGCTCTCATCCAGTGTCTTTTCCATCTAAGAATGTCCAGCTATGTGGATAACCAGATAGCTCTGAGAAAAGAATGACTCATCATAGGTACCACAGTAGAGATATCAGACCGGTGGGGACCCTACCCTAGGCCCACTGACCTTGATACAGCATAATATTTGACATATACTTCAAGATACCCCTGACCTATTTTTCATGCTTAAAAATTGAGGGGAGACTAATAGGCAAGTATTCTGCATCTTTCAGAACAGATGAGCAATTGCAGCTTTGTAAACAATATCTCAATCTGGGCTGAAATTGTTTAGCACTTGGCATGTGGTCTCAATTCCCATGAATGCTGTGTAGACAATCGCATTAGCATAAAAAGGAGCAAGGCAAAATACAGAGGTAAACAAACTCTTCTGTAAAGGCCCAGATAGTAAATATTTTAAGTTTACACGATTCTTAATGTCCCCCTCAGCTGTGCTGTTACAATGATAAAGTGGCCAGATGACACACAAATGACTAGATTTGGCTGTTTTCCCCCTAAGACTTTATTTACAAAATGAAGTGCTAGACTGGCTTTGGCTCCTAGGCCCAGAGTTTGCCAATCTCTGAACTAGAGGAAGTATAGGCTTTGGAGTTAAATGCCTGAGTTAAATCACGACACATTGCTAAGTATAGAAGCATGAACTATTGATTCTGTTCCTATCAATCCACAGTGGAATGTAGTGGGGAAGGCAAAGCAGTCACTTTTTCCCATGGCCAGTTAGAGTTAATGTAGCTTCGAGAGCACATCTCCTTCCCATGAGATTTGGTATTAAAATGTTCTTTTACAGTAGGCTGACACGGATCGGGTGGGAGTTAAACTGGTTTGCTTTTAGCAGTTATGTTGTTTTGTTTTGTTTTGCAATGGTCTTTTTTTTTATTGTGAAAATACTGTACAGAGGGGTTACAATTATATGGGCAAGATAGTGAGTACATTTCTTATCAAGCATAGTAGCCTCCTCCTTTGTTTACCCTTCCCTTCCCTTCCCATCCTCCGACTCCCCCACCCTATCCTCCCCCCCCAAGTTGTAAAGCTCGTTTTCGACATGATAACTTGTACTTCTCATTGTTGCAACAGGTCCACCTGTATCTTTATTTAAACGACTTGTTTTTTCCCTTCCCTCCACAAATTATACCGACATCAAATTGTTGTTTTGTTTTAATGAACACAATAGGCAAAATAAGGCCAGTCCTAGAGCTTGAACTCAGGGCCTAGGCACTGTCCTGAGCTTTTCTGCTCAAGGTAAACACTCTACCTCTTGAGCCACCGCTCCTTTGCCAGCTTTTGATAGCTAATTGGAGATAGACATCTCACGGATTTTTTCCTGCCTGGGGTGGCTTGGATCTGTGGTCCTCAGATCTAAGCCTGCTGAATATCTAGGATTACAGGCATGAACCACCAATGCCTGGCTCAGGTGACTTTTTTACGCTAATAATACTCCCTACTGGAACTGTGAAGTTTTCATTGAAGACCTTCCTTTATGTTTCTCTTAGCCCCAACTCTGAAATCAAGCAACATGGGGACTAGTATTCTCATTTTCAAATAAACATTTGAGGCCCCAACAATCAGGTGACTTGCCTAAGATCATAGAGGAAGTTCATGGCGGGGAAAGGCTGAGAGTCCAGGGATCCTCTTTCTGTCCCCCATTTGATATGCTTCTGGACTGAGATGTCAGGGTCCTGCTATGTATGGTCCCTGACTCTCTGCTTGTAATCCAAGTCTATACTTCCTTAGCTGAGCAAACTACAGACACTAGCAAGGTGAGGTGGAAGGAACATCATCTTAGGGCAAGAGCTGAGCTCCAGAACTGGCCTCCACACCAGCAGTCAACCCTCTTTTGGTCTTTTCTTTTTCTTTTTTGGTCTTTTCACCTAGCATAGTCCTTCCACTTTGATACCTCTTGAGACTATAATTCTCCTGTCCTGGATGTAAAGACAGAAAATGAACAACAGACTAGAAACAATCTTGAGGATATCTGAAGCCACAGTCTTCTTCCCTATCAAGCTGGTCTTGAATCTACACAAGCAGCTTAAGGCCCCTTGGGAGTGGGCATTAAAAAACACTCTAGGAAACAGAGAACTCTTTCCAGAATCTGATAAGAAGGTCCAGGGGTAGGAATGAGTTTTGCTACTAGAGAGGGCCAAGATGGAAATGCTGATACCTTCCAGAGAGTCCTCTGCCTCAGTGGTTGCTAAAAAGCTTCCACCATCAGCAGGAAACCAGCAGTGGCTGGAACCTGGGTTGCAGGGCTCTGCACACATGCTAATGTAAACCAACACAAGATACACTTAGCTGCAGAGAAACCACAAAAACCCATGCATTGCTGGGTAACACGTCCTGTTCCTGGCCAGAGTGATTCCCCAGCCCACTGCCACCTTGTACCTAGCCTACTGTTCTTGGGCCTACTGGGCTACCCCAGGGTTCAGCAAACCACTTGGAACCCTAGGATGTGAACCTTTCCCCTTATACCAGGATCCTAGTATCTCCTCTACAAGGTAATAAGGATTCCTGGCTAAAAATACCATGGGCATGAAAGAAGACGGCAAAGATACCTTCATCTGCCACCTGGCTGAGTCTCTATCCTTTGGACATAGGGTCTACTTTTCCACATTCAAGTAAAATGATCTTTCTGGTTCCATAAACAATCTGGAACCAAGGAGAGTAGGTGGATAAAGACCTGTACTTCCTGGTCACTCTTTGCTCTAGTCCTCTGCTCCCATCAAATTCTGAATCTTGTATGTACTCATCGTTCCGAGCTTTGTCGTCTAATTCACAGAACACAGGTACTTTGCCTGATTTCCCCAGAGTTCCAACCGTGCTTTAATCTGTACACAGAAATATCTACAGGAAGATTTAGTCTGCGCAGAACTGCTGGCAGGACAATACAGTACACCCCACAGCCACCCAGGTGGGTGCTGTTGAGTTGAATTAGAGATCTTCTTGCTGAGAAGGGCATAAAGGACTATGCTTTTTCCTAGGGCTCAGCCCTTGTCCACATGGCCTAACCCACTCTCCTTCCTATTTGCTCTTAATATCCTCATCTCCATTTCTACCCATTTACTTTCCCCATCTCCAAGTTTGCAGAAATGCAACTTCTACTGATTCTGAAGTTTTGCAGAATGATTCTGGTCCTTGAGTCTCACCCCCAAGCCTTTCCCACTGTTCCCTGGGCTCTTACATAACAAAACACCCCACCAAACAAATCCTTCTTCTCTGCAGTAGAATTCTGCAATTTCCCAAGGCATGTGTATGAGGCACTGGCAGAGTGAAAAAGAATGGTGTTGATGGGTTTCCATGATGGACTGGGTATTGGTGTATTCATCCAGCCATCAACAAGCCCCCAATGGTAATTATTAGCCTGTTTTGTAAGTAAGGAAATAGGAACCCAGAGATGCTGACAGAAAATACCTAAACTAACAGTGCATGAGGAATGACCTACCTCAGAGCCTGTATACAGGGAATGGGTTGTGGAATACTTTTACCTGCTATCACACATTAGAGGAGCTCTGAGGCAAAGAAAGCCACTGGAGGCTACCATCCATTGGTTGGTAGGAGGTTGAGACTAAAGGGTCATGTCATCTGGGATAATTCTATCCCCCTGGCTATTAATTGAAGCGATTTTTCTTTTCCTGTGAAAGTGAGTCCAGATAACTCCCTTAGCAAATTCCCTTCCCTTGCCTGAATTCTTTCTCCAGCTGAAAATGGGCATAGGGCAAAGAATTAAACTGGAAATTGGTATGCCTTCATCCTAGTCCCAAAAATGACAAAATAAGTCACTTCTTCTCTTGGAGATTTGAGTTTCCCATGGCTGAAGTATTGGGAGGATTTGGTGTTTGAGAGTGACTTTCCATGAATCGGACAATGTAAGATTCTCTAACCTATATTGACATTTATGATTTCTACCTCCTTTGGCAGTACCCTCCCTTTTCCTCTTGAGAGGCAAAAAGGGACATGAAAGGAAACCAAATGAGATGGACTAATGACCCACCCCACAGAAATAAGAAAAGCTGCCCATAGAAAGCAATGAAATGGAACCCATACTCAGCTGCTCCTGATGCTCTGTGGCCCCACCCCAAGTGGCAGGCAGGAGAAGCCTATCCAGGGTAGCACACTGCCAGAGAAGGAGAAGATGGAGGCGGAGCAGCCTCCCTCTTCCTTACAGCCCCTTCCTCTAGAGAAACTGAGCACTGCTTTAGCAGAAAAGGTTTAAGATGTTCCTAAATGCATCAATAT